AGCATTCAGGGTGGAAATTTACGTATAATTTGAAAAACGTTTAGAAACTTTCCTATTTAAACGTTTAGCCAACGCTTTCCAGAGGCTGCTGCTGCCTACCTCGATGTTTTCATACATGCATAATTATATAATTCAACAATGCACATGGTCCAACCAATGCAAAAATGTAGATTGATGTCGGGGCATTTAAAAAAGCAATGTTTATTATTTTAGAATTCACTTTTTTCTCAAAACGTACATGGATGTCAAAGGGGAAAAGTTTTTTGAGAATCAGATTACATTTGTGTTTTCGTCTTACAGTCTGCCACGTTTTGGTAACAGCTCTTCTTTGAGCATCCTTGTATACAAGACTACGATCAGTGTTTGTTCTTCCGTCGTTACCGACGATAAAGTCTGCATCATAGATTAAAGTGGTGTAGTTCTGTTCTGTCCAAGATCCCAGTATAAGCTGGCGATTTTTCTGGTACACAACGACTGCAGTCTGATATCGCCAAGTCTGATGGTAGCCATTGTGACCCTGTACGTTTGCGTGTGAACAGGTGACAAAATTCTGAACTGGATGGACACAAAGGGTAACTGAAGTTATTTTTGTTGCGTCAGCCTTTCAGCTTCACTCGACAACCACAATGACAAGAATGGGTTACTACTGACAACGGCCAGGTTACTGGAAACGCTGCTTCTCAACACTGCAAACAACAGGTTTCTGCAAGACCTGTATCTCCAACTATGGCAATTCTTTGGACACATTCAATATAACGTTGTTACCATGCGGTGATATTGAGCCAAACCTAGGACCAGATGCTCAACTTCTTCACCGAAGTCTTATCCATTACAGATATTCCAATCTTGTACACAATCCAGATGATCTTGAAGTCATTGGCGATGCCAGCTGCCCTAAAGCACCTTTCCCTCTACATGATTGGTCCATCACTGTCCACCTTGGATCAACTCAAACCGGCCCACACATAGGGGGCCCTGAGCCATTGCCCTTTAGGCCAAATATCGTCCAAGTCGCATATTCAACATGACCTCAACCACCAATACCGATCACCTCAGTGTGCGTCTTTGCAATGCATGCTCACTTCGCAACAAAACGCTTTCATTTTCTGGATATGTGACAGAAACCAGGCTTAGTATTGTAAGAAATCCTCGCTGGACACGAGCAAACTCACCAACTTTCACCCACTGTCAAACCAACCTTTTCTTTCAAAAGTTATTGAGAAGGCCATAGTATCCCACCTCCCTGCACACATGGATGACCACCATCTCTGGGAGTCCCATCAGTCTGCATACAGATATGGTCAGAGTACGGAAACTGCACTACTATCGGTAAAAGATGACATGCATGTAACACAGGCGATGGACAATAATAGAGGAGTGTTCCATGTCCTCTTGGACTTGAGCGCAGCTTTCAACACTGTAGATCACCGTATTCTTCTCCAGAGGCTTGGCGAATCCATTGGCCTGGTGGGAAATGCTCTCTCTTGGTTTCGCAGCTTTCATACAGACAGATCTTGTAGTGCATATGTTGAGGGGCACTCCTTGTGCCCAAAACCTCTCAACTACAGAGTCCTCAAGGCTCCGTTCTAGGGGCCTTTGTATTTATCATCTACATCAACCCTATGGGTGACATCATTCGCCGACAGGGTCTCAAGTTTCACATTTATGCTAATGACATTCAGTTATATTACACTTTCAACTGTAAGGATCCAGACTCCATATCAGCTGCACTTTCCAGGTTGTTTTCTTGCATCCAGGACTTGAAGTCATGGTTGACTGACAACGTGCTTAAGCTGAATGAAGCAAAACAGAAGTTCTCGTTGCAGCATCAGCCCATTCACTTCTCAATTTGCCTCTTGTCACCTTGCAAATTGGGAGTTCCATTATCTCACCATCACAGTTGGTCCGCTATCTCGGGATTCACTTTGATGAACACATGTCCGCGTCTACACACGTTGCAACAATCCAGCGGTCCATTAACTTCCACCTTCAGAACATATCACAAATTCGCGGATACCTTGATTTTGATTCCTGTGATCACGTCAGCAGAGCCGTTGTTCTCTTACGGCTTGATTTTTGTAATTCTCTGTTATTTGGTGAAGCTGAAACACATCTAACAAGACTCAAACGACCTCAAAATCATGCTGCCTGCATTTTATTTGCTGCTGGCTGGTGCGAACCAGTGTCTCCACTGCTTGCCCGACTTCACTGGCTTCCTGTCCAACAGAGAATTCAATTTAAGCTTGCTCTGCTCATCTTCAAATTTCACCACACAGTTCCTCAGTACCTTGAACACTGCTTCACCCTTCATGTTCCTGGTCCACCTGGTCTTCGTTGCAGCTGTGATGTCACCTTGCTGTCAGTACTACCGGGATCACAAAACGGCTTAACCCACGAAGCCTTCACAATCTCTGGTCCCACACTGTGGAACACAATAGCTGCCCACATCAGAGCTCTGGAAACTGTTTCATCCTTCAAAAAACAACTAAAAACATCGATATTTGCGATCTAAATTAAATGTCCTTTTATCATTGGTCGTTGCTACCCTTAGCGCCATGATCTCCATGTAGATGGTTAGCACTATAGAAATCCTGTATTATTATTTTATATTATTTTACAGGCATCGTTTACAATAAAAAGAACATAAGATTGCATCAATCAAAACAGCAAACCTCTAAAGGACGGTTCCATTTATTAACCCTAACTGCCCAAAACCTGCAATACTCCAACAGCAGGTTTTGTGAGGTTTTGGCAGGTTTGGTACTGTACCTGAGGAACTTCTTGTTGAATTTTGTGAGACTTGGGATGAAAGGCCCAGGGAGATGGTGTTGGATTCTGTGTGAGTTGGGACACACACAGGTCACTGTGTGCAGTGTCTGGCTTGCTGTACTAATTGTTGGACTATGCTTGATTTTGTCAGGTTTGGTACTGTTCAGTGCAAGTCATCCTATACTGCATAGACTTATCCATACCATATCACTCAAATTCCAACGGGCTCATTCTGTTGGAGTTTATCAGGTTTGGTACAGTAACCTGCATATACAAGTACATAGACAAGTACATAAACCTGTTGGATTTTGTGAGGTTCGGTATGCTTTTCTAGTGCAGGAGCCTTGGGGGTTAGGGTTAAGCATTTGGCAAAATCTGTAAACGGATTTGGAACTTGCTTACTTTAAACGTTTAACATCTCACCCTTATGGTGCATTATTGTAAAAAGCTAATAATATGCTTTGCAAGCCAAGCTAGCTTCCGCCATGTATGTAATCAACATATTTTACGGCATGTCCCTTTCTGTAAATGCTTTTCATAACCACTCATCTGTGTAAATGGGCCCATATGAGAGAACTCTGGCAGCAGCCCGCAATACTTTGAAAGCAAATTAGAAACTTGGCTCAAAAAGGAGGCATTGGTGGCACATACATGTAAGTTGTCACAAAAAGTGGTTACTATACACGTCTATCTTCTCTTGCAGCTCTTTGAGGGCTTTTGACTGTCACCTGATATGTTACCTGAATACATAGAGCTGGACGGCTCTGTTGGCAGAGCAACAGCATGGTTTACTAGATTTGCAAGAGGTCACCGGTTCAAATCCTATCCAAGTCAATTACTGTCAATCTGTAGGCAGTGACGTCACTTGAGAGAGACACGTACATGTATTTTGTGTTTAAAAGGCTTAACCCTACACGTAACACTTAAACTTGCAAGACTGTACTTGTGACTATTCAAAATATCCTAACCCTATACTGCCAGGATCCTACATGTCGACGAGAATGAGTGCCCTTTAAAAATTAAAAAAAAAAGATGCTTAGTGGTGGATTTTGCAGGATCTAGAAAGATTTAGAGCAGAAAATGCCAAAATTGGTCCTTTAACCCTTAACAGTCCTGCACATCATTTGGCTTACAGTACTCAGTAGTATAAAATACCACTTAGTAGTCTGAGCCTTAAGGACCTAGTGCTACAAATTACTACTTCTGGATAGGGCACCCTCCCTTGTTACTCGTACAGAGAACAATAAAGTTGTGCATTCATAGTGCCATAGCACTGTATGGTGCATTGTTTTAGCTATTGTATTTTATGGCTTCAGGGAACAATAAGGTCATGTCCTCTTACAAGCGACAGCACTTAGTACTACATTTTACTACCAAGTATTATGTACTGTTAAGGTTAAACAATGTGCAACAAGTATAAACTAAAAAAAAGTACTTACTTGCACTGGTTGCCATAGCGACAGGTTCCAAGCAAGAAAAATTTGCAACGTGTGGAAGGTTTACCTGCCCGGTCATGGGCGTATCTACAGTTGTCCCCTGCTCTGCAGAGTCCATGAATGAAGTATCTGCCAAGGCACAGAAGATGGGAAAAATCATTTAAAAAAACACTGTCTTTCCCCAAAAAAGACAACTCGAGAAAATCAGAGTTATCTAAGTCGGCTCAATCACTGTCTTCTTTTTTTCATTTTCTGAATTAACTGACAGTGTTTCCAGTGTCAAGTTAGAAACTAAGAGAAGAAAATCTGTCTTACATTCAATTGTTACCTGCTTTGAAATTTAGAACCAAAATGCCATTCCAATACCGAGTCCATTATTCAGAATTTGTCAACGAAAGGGGGTAAGCTTTTTTTTTTTTAGAAAAAAGTCAAATTTGGTAATACCTATTAATTTTGATTTCTGAAAACTTCTTGTTGTTTTACTTTCACTTTCACTTCCTATAAAACATCTTTTCCATTACAAACATTGGCGAGTTAAATTTTCAGAATGGTACGTGTCTGCTTTGGTGTGAAAGTGCTCTTTCCCAGATATTTTTGATTCCATATATTTACATAAATTTCATTCTCATGAATCACATTTTAGTGAGAGAGAGATTTTCACTTGTATTTCATAATCATAAGTGATTTTAGTGCTTTTAGCAGGGCAAATCTGGGGGCAATTCTGAGCACAATCATGTAAATCCTGGTTGGAATTGGAATCAAGTTTCAAATCGTAGATTTGTCCAAACCTAGTTTGGTAATTACAATCCATTCAATTTCTCCGGAGGGGTGTATTTTGTTTCCTTCGTTGCTTTCTAAGTGAAGGCTACATGGTAAGCTAGGATTCTACTTTGTGATTGACGGGTATAGTAAAACCAACAGTACATTACAGTGAGCTTTGCTTTCAATCAGGGTTTCCCCTGGGGTACTGATATGTTTGAGGCAGTCACACAAATTTTGCCAAAATTCAAGCACCTAAAACAAAAGCGAGTATTTTCCAAATGGCCTAAAATAAATATATTTACCCTAAATTTCCAATCTAAAATAAAGCGATCTGGTATTCTATGCCCCCCTTTACCATTCTGAATGATTTGAAACTGATCTATTTCAGAATATCTGTATAACATTTGTTTTGCTTTTTCCTTTCATCTTTGTCTATTTTAAGTGTTGAGGTGGTAAAATTCAACAGAAAAGCTTAAGGTGGTCACTAAAGTCAGTGAGGTGGGCCGCCTCACAGTTGAATTGGCTGGGGAAACCCTGCTTTCAATGCATACTTTTGTCTTGCTTTGCTCGAGTGTACTCTTATTTTCCAGTGCAATCAATGTATGATTATATTTATTTTTAAAGCGTACTAGATGAAATGATAAACATTCTTGCAATCTACTATATCATGTGGAAGATTTGTGCAGGAAGAATGGACTTGACACAAGTTGAATGTACATACAATGGTCATCAAAACCAAACAAAACTGCAAGTCTGTAAACTAAATGATGACATGTGTACATGTACATTACTCTATGCAAATAAGAACATAAAAATTGTAAGACTGACATGCATTAGGAGTAACAAAATATGCAGTTTTATGCAACTCCTTCATTTCTTGACTAAGTTTATGAAAGCATGTGTGCACGTCATGCACGTAAAAGCACACAGGCCTACACATAATATGTAAGCCTGTAACTTATAAGTAACACAAGAGAATCAGATTGGAAATGAAACAGAATTCTATCCACTTTTTCTGGTTGCCCTTTCCCCATTCAATCAAAATATCTACACAATTACCAGCACAGATCATGTTTCCTGACTTGCTGTGGCATACATACTGTCGCCACTGCCAGACATGATGTATCAATAATGTACTCATGTTATGCAAGTAAAACATGGTAAAGAACTTTTTCCTTAACCAGAGTGTATTTCCATAACTATAAAATAGACATGATAGAATAGGTAGTTCTGGACAATCATGTTCACTGAATCAACTCTGCAATGTCTCCCAACTGTGCCACTTTCATGTACTGCAAACACAAGAACAAAACAGAAATGTTGTCAAATCACGGTCACACTGTTTATGACTAATGCTATTTGATCTTGATTCCACAAGACAATGCCTATGCACTGCGCACGCATATTTGCAGTACGGCAACTCGCAGGCAAAATACCAGTCGTGCCATCTGCTCGCACGACAAATCACATGCTGGTACAGTGTCATGTCACACGTCTACCAACGACAACGCGCGACATCACACCGGCTCACGATCGCAACGCCCCATCGGGAAATCACATGATAAAAAGTCACAAACACTGCATTTATCGCAGTGAAATGTGGGACAAACCTGCAAGCGATGTTTTTCCGCCAGTCTGCGCCGTTGTTCGGTCCGCGCCCCTGGCCTGGCATGCCTTGCACGCTAGACAGCCCGGGCCCAGACGGCGCATTACTGGCAGCAGCCATCTTGTACCGATGGAGCTGCTGTAATTGCTGGTACCCGGCACTCAGATTGGGCTTCATTCATTCAGCACGGGTGTGGGTACCGATCTACGTCTGACAGCGCGATGTGGTTTACCGTAACCAGTGAAACATAATTGATCGATTGATCAATCGATACATTTCGCCGGCAATCATCAACTCGAGCTGGTAATGGTACAAACAGCCTGAGGCTGACAAGTTACCTTTGGAGGGCAATGGGGAAGTATGGAGAAGGGACAACAACGAAAAAATCAGGTTCACCCAAACCCCAAATGCATTGATTGCCATTGAGTTTCTCGGAACCGTAACTCGGGGGAGGGCACGGACGCCCGCTCCTGGCCTGTGGCCCCCACTCAGAACTTAGAGAAGGAAAAAGTGTGGACGTAGTCCGCTTTAACGGTCTTTTAACTGTGACCGAAACCCACTGAGTGTCCCCTCCAGAAAATGACAATCCTAGCCCCCCCCCCAAAAAAAACGAACCCCAGTTACAACAGTGGAGTTACTTAAAATATTGAATTATAAAGGTCCAGTCGCTCCCCGTGTCTTCCGGTAGAGTGAGAAAGGTGGGGCTGCCGGCCGGCGCAAAACATTTATGTGGCAAGCAGATGCTGTTCTGATAACATCCATGTACACTTCAGTAGCTGCAAAGGCATCAACGTGCAGAGCCAAACACCCTCGTAGCCTGGAATCCACTGCAGAAATTCAAAACACGGTACGTCAAGTAAAATCGCCACGCGCGCGAGTCAATCGGCGAAGAAATTAAATTGTTTAACAAAATCGTTGGAAATTTATCATTTTAAACTTATTTTAGAGGATGATGTAATAGAAATATTTCACTAAACTGCACCTCTGTGTTTCAGTTGACCTTATTTTGCTTTTTAAAATCTGTATTTTGGGGCTGTTTTGTTTGAAAGCTAATTTGAATTTACATATTCATGAGCAAATCTATGATGTAATCCGTGGCACTGTCCTCCGAGAGGGCACAGTTTTGTATCACTGGGATAGGCATGAGTAAACCTTATTTGCACTCGTTGTAACTAAATTAAAATAATATAAACAGCCTCGGAGACACTATGTGGACGCCAGCAACACATAACCTCTACGTTGCATTGATTTTTGCACCAAAAATTGCTAGATTTTTTACAGTTCGCTATCGAAGATTTTCGTTTCTTTTGGCAGTTTATTGTTGTGTAAGTAGGCCTACATGGCAATAAACTCGCAAGCAACTTTTTTTCTCAGAAATATTTTCAAAGAGCAAATTTGGGGTTCAAAATGTGAACATGAAAACATGCAAACTAAACTGTGCCTTGCATATGTCGATCATTGCTGGATTTACACCACACGATCAGCGCCCTCACCAGTGTTGAAAAACGTGGGCAATTTTGAATAATTAAAAAAGTGCACTTCACTGTTCGCTTAAGTCCAAAACATAAATTCAACCATTTTTCATACATTGAAGAACAATTTGAATGTACACAGAAAGTGATTGTTAGAACATTAATTGTTCCTTTAACTTCGTTTTGAGACCAGATCAGGATAACACACGCTGAATAATGGCGGAGGCGAACGTTCGAAGCCCGCAGATCCCAAAATCCACGAGCGTCAATTGGTGGGGGACTGGGAGACATGCCCCTCCCCATTGTTTAAATATTTTTTTGGGGGGGATCATATCATTTGCTCCCTCCCCTTTTTCCGGACTCTTAATACACATGTAGAGGGAGTAGGCCAACATTATTTTTAATAGTTCAGATAGAAATTATTTTGAATTTCAGATAAAAATTATTTGAAATTGACGTCAATCTTGCAAAAGCATTTGCTAATATCAAAGTTTGTCAAAGTGGCCAGAAATTGCCTTAGATCTCACCACAAAACTTTTAGTATCCAAAATTTCCCAGGGCCCTCAAGCGGGTCCTGGACCTCACGTTGTTGGGGGCTTCGTGTTTCGCGTTTCTGTTAGTTCTTTACAAGGTTATGACCCCCCCACTTTTGAAAAGCGATTGATACGCATGCTATCCAGCAGACCGTTTCTTTAAGATAGGAAACGAGCTGTTGCCCGTAAGTGTGCAAGACTGAGTTATCAACAGAATGATCTTTTGAAATCGCTGCAGTTTACAAGAAGCCCAAAATCTGAATTTTCGAGTTTGCATTTTTGCGAACATGCATATAACTAGTTTTTTGGGATGGTACTCATGTGCCCCTCGGACGCGGTCGGGCTATAGGGTCGACAGAGCGGTGCACATGCTTGCTGATGTCGACAAGAAGTTCAATATTACCACGGAGAATGAATTCCTTCCTCCATGGTATTACCAACACTGGCTGGCAGAACTGGCCCTGGAAACTCGTTTGTTGCATTGGACATGTCGACTGTTATTTGCCAGAGTCAATCTCAGCACTATGCCCCCCTGTAGGCCTATACGTCTTCCTGAACTGACATTGACCGTGTGACTGGCCATCTGCTGCCGAGGCCTGGTGGTAGCATGTACGTGTATTCTGGATTAGATCGGCAATACATTCCAACTTCAAAGCCGACACTTCGGTACGAATTGTCTCGGGAACACAATCTAGCTCGTAGGACGCTTAGTACGTTGTCATCGACAGGAAATCCATTATAAATCTGTCCATAAAAAAGACGGACGTAATTAAATTTGTTAAAAGGACGTAATTAGGGGAAATCACAAACATTTAGCTTTCTGTGCAGTTTGGACTAAATTGCTTAACAGTCAAAGTGCTAAAGAAAACGTACTGTCTGCAAGGACGCGCTACGTGAGAGTGCAAATAAAACACGTTAAATGTTTGCTCCTCATGCGGGTTCTGTACTGTCACGTCGACGTGTCCCTGCTCGATCGTGCTCTGAAGCATAACGGATGGACTGATAACCAGTCTACACAACATGGTGCGCAGTGTGACGACTGGTATGGTGGTTGTGGGGGATGTCAACCCATTTTTAACTGGCTGTTTGTAAAGCGTGTATCTTTGTGAATTTCCCTTAAATGTTATTTCTGTTCTCCCAATAAAATACAAAATAGAAATAAAATACAAAAATAAGTTGCTTTTTCTAATCTATAAATCTATTTTCCTGCCAAAATAGAAGAAATGAAAAAATATAAATATTTATTCTAGAATCTCTCAGCCAATCACAGAGAATTGCTGTAAGTTACCGGTTTCTGTGGGGTTGTCTCTTTTTGCAAAGGAGTGGAAAATTAATCGACCAAAATGCTTTATTTAGAGGATTATTTAGAGAGTAAGTATGGATTTGTGCCACTTTATCACTGCAAGTGAAACCAGGGGCCTGTTCTGTAGTAGTAGTATTCCACTAGAAGTCCATTAATGTGATTTCTCTGACTTTCTTTTTGCCAGTGATCGAGCAACTTCCAATGGACTTAAGAGAGCGGTTCACAGAAATGCGCGAGATGGACCTCCAAGTACAAAGTATGTCCGTTAAATGGTCCTCTTCTTCCAAATGCGACTTTTTAAAATTTCTTTATGAGACAAGATTACGTGATTAATATCCTTTCTTTCCATTTAGATGCAATGGACAACCTGGAAGAACGACAAAACAAGTTTTTTGAGGCTGCAAAGAAAACAAATTCAGGAAAGCCAGAGTTGAAGAATTATGAAGCCATCAGGAAGGTGAGTAAAGAGGGCGCCCTTTGCATTAGCTTATAGTCTAGTTCCTGCAAAGGCCAAGTGTACATCAATTAGATTCTATATTGTAAATATTGGACTTCCAGTTTATTTTTTCACTTTTGATCCAGTTCTTGCCATCACAGAAATTAGAAAACCAACAAGCAAAAAAGAAAAAGTTGCCATTAGTTTTTCTGTGTTTTAAAAGTCTTGAAACTGTTCTGAGTGTTATTTTACTCAGCCTGGTCTAAGTAAGTATAATAAAGGGATATTAAGGGGTGCTGTGTACTTACTCATTTTACTAATTGGAAATTGTGATTAAAATTTGTGTTTTTTGCATGATGTGTCTCCTCTCTTCAAATTCCAATTTCAATTTTTTTTGAAATTCTAAGTAAGAATTGTATTCATTGAAATAAGGCCCGATTATGAATAAAGGTTTAAATGAAAGGGTGAAATTTAAGCATTTCAGTCCAAAATTCGCACATGTTTTGTGTACAAAATAATCACAATTTACTCTGCATTATGCATGTACATTTTGTTTCCTCAAAACATCCCCTGCTTCAAATAAGTTTTTCTCTCCTTCAGTGGCGTAGCCAGGATTTTACTAGTGGGGGGAGGGGGCACAAGGTAGACACCAGCGTCTTATGGGGGGCACCAGCTTTCAGTGGGTTGGTTTTTTGTGGGGCAAGTTTTTGTTAGCCTTGTTCAATATCCATTCATCCACTTGTTATGGGGGGGGGGGAAGGGACCTGGGGGAAATGGAAATTTGTGGGGACATGTGCCCCCCCATGACTGTGACACTACTTTCCTTTCAAGCCTGATAGAATCCAATCTTACATATCTATCAAAATGTGTCTTATGACTTCATCTCCAAGATCATCTCAAAACAAAAACAGAAAAAAGTGTCTCAGAAAGTAGTATCCCACCTACTTATATTTTTTACAATTCTAAAAAATGTACTGTTGCCAATAACCTTCTGAAATGCCGAAATAGATATTATCTCAGCACTTGAAAGGTGTGACTGTTCATTGTGTGTCAGTGCATTACAAACTTGCAACACTGGGACATCCAAAGCTGTGATACAGATTACCATGGAAATGCCTAGAAAATGGTTTATTGTTTTATTGCATACAATACATGTATTAATTGATGGCTATCATAAATCAGAAAGATAACATGGAGAATAATCCAAAGATTTAAAATTGGAAGTGACCAAAACAAGGATTTTAGAATTTTTTTTGGTCACCACTCATGATCCAAAAAGGCAACTGCAGTTTCAAACGAAAAAAAGTCTTTTATTTTATTACATAAAATGACGCAAATAGGCACTTCCTTCTGCTGCTTTGTAATATTAATTAAGGTTCTCCCCTTTTTCTACATTTGCTTCCAGGATTATTACAAAGTCTTGGAGGACTGTGATGAGAAAGTTCAGTTGGCGAACCAAGTTTATGATTTGGTAAAGTAGAAAGCCCACTAGGAATATTGCATTTCTTGTATCTGTAACGCTTGACATGTCCTTAGTGTATATCTTGTGTAGAAACTTCGGCTACCATTTCTGATGGACGGCCAAGGTTGGCGGGAGTTCTTTCTTGGGTGGCCAAAGATTTTACTTTCAAATGCACATGTGCCACGTAAGCATTAAGAAGTATTTTGTGTGCTGATAAAATAGTGCGCTACTGCATCTGACTGTGGATCTATGGGTGTGATGATTACACAAGTGCATTATTAGACTAAAAAGACTGATTGTAACACCTTCAACAGATTTTTCCAAGAGATGGAACGGAACCCAAACCAAAAATGGACTTTTATTAATCCTAATGCTTTCCAGCTCCGTTTTATGTAGAAACAACAATGCAAATCATATGGATTGGCGGGATTTCTTATCTTTGCTGGGGTCGTTATCTGGGTTAAAATGCTTGCCAAAGGAATCACAAAGTTTTCCCAATACATTTACGAGGATGACAAGGAAGATGGCTAACTGAATGCGATGATGAGTAAAATGCAGGTCAATTACCTCAGGATGACATCTTTACACAGGTGGATCGCTACTTGCGGAAACTAGACCAGGAACTGAATAAGTTTAAAATGGAACTGGAAGCAGACAATGCTGGTATCACTGAAGTCCTAGAAAGAAGTAAGGCTAAAGAAATTGATATTCTGGCAATCTGTTTCTGATAATGACTGCTTCGAGAGAGTTTGTGGCAGTTTCATGTAAAAGTGGAAACAAGGTCACAGTACATGCACTGACCTCCATCAAATTGTAATTCACAAAGAAAAGAAGTGTTCCATAATACCAACATTGGAATTCAAAACAATAGTGCTGCTTATTTCCACTGGCTTTTTCCCCCCAAAAAATCCCCTTCTTTTTAAGAATTACAAGTAAGTTATAAGATCAACAACAGTGTGATTACTTTCCGCTTTCCCACGGGAGTGCCCTCTAGTTTTATGTTCTTTGTTTCAATCTTCAGCGTACCTTAAACTCTAGGTATCTGGTGCAATTAAATAGGGCAGAAGCACAGTAAAGTTACTTGTAGCAGCACCTCTTATCGGTTGACCTCAACTCTATCCAACTTAACCATGTCTTCTTAACGTGGGCTTTATGTGTGCGATTGTTGCAGGGTCATTAGAGCTGGACATTCCACAGAAGCAACTCCAGGCACCGACGAGGGGAGAAAGTAAGTTGGAGTAGCTTTGGGGCCTCGTGCTTTAGTTCTAGGAGTAAGAAATCAGCCCGTTCGAATAGCCCACAAACTGATTGTGATTGCATTCGCGTGCATCAACAGGAAATTCTGCATCAGGATTAAAAAATGGGCTGTAATGCATACAGAATCACAAATGTCATCAGTGTAATGGAAGTGAGAGTTCTTATTTTAAAAGTAAGCGGCAAATTCTTGACACTGAACAGTACCGTCTTCTGCAGTATGTTTTATTCCTCAATCTGGAATACTAAATTGGCATACTGTGTCACTGCAAACAGTCGCCATGAAGTGTGATTTTAATAGATCTGTAATAGATCCTAATAGATCTCAATCCTCCTGGGGTGTTTTGGTGAAAGTCAGTGAAAATTACGGATGGTTGATAGTCTTCAAGATTCGAGGGATGGGATTATTTAGCATGTATCAGTAACTTCATTGATTAGACAGCGACTGATTGTGCAGATGTCCACAGCTTGAGAGGTTTAACCCTCAGTGTTCTTTCTCAAACCCTCCCCGTGCAGAGAGGAAGAACCACATGGAGAATCACACAGACAAGAAGACCCTCTCCGAGAAGAAGCTTCTGTCCAGCCTCCCCGTGGACGTCTCCCAGGAGATGCTGAGCTTCCGCACCAGCAGCCTGACGACCAAGGCCGCCTCCTCCCTAATGGAGGGCCGGGAGTCTGGGGCTTCCCAGCCCGCCTTGTCCTACAACCTGGGCCACGTGGGTGCTGGCAGTAACGCCATAGCGCTAGCAGCTGCCCAGGCTGTCTCCAACACTCTACAGGTGTGGGGGGTTAACCAGTTTGGCAACAGTTTACTTGGAAAGATGGTGTTTTTAAATCATAGTTATTCATCAGGTTTTTGGGGTTGATTTTGGTTGTCAATTTACTCTCAGTTGTGTAGCTGATGTACCCCTTTACCCCTTGTTCTATGAAGAAGGCCTTGGAAGTCCAGCTTTTAGAAGTCTCGTTTCTTGGGGCAGTGCAAAAGATTTGTCAACTGAATCTCGCATATGTTCTGTTAGATGCAACAGGGTAGGCGAACGGCCAGCCTGAAGGCCAGTTACGAGGCGCTAAAGTCGGGGGGCTTCAGTGGACTGGGAGCAGTGGGCAGAGACATCAGCCAGTCAGCATCGTCAAGCACGTCAGCGGCCACCTCCACGACCCTCACCAGCACGGAGAGCAGCAGGCACAGAGGTAGAAGGTCAGTGAACCTTGGAGACAAGCAACAGTTGGGAGCAGGACCAGTGTGCTTGTGTACTGATGATGTCACGGTTTCTTTACTTGTACGCTGGCCTATTGAGTTTCGACTCTGGTTTCTCCTGCCGACTTGAGCAGGAAAATGTACACAGAGATGAAGTGTAACGTCATCAGTACATGGGCCACTTTGTTCTTGATTTGGGGGTTGCGCTTGCCTCACTATTGATGGAGGTAACCCCACCTGCATCTTTGGATCTGATTGGTGGGATGAATTCTTCTTTTCTTCTGCCGTCTGCTGTTGATTTTATCTTCAATTTAGACTTTAGATCCGGAAAATTGTTTCGTTGATTGAGTGGGCAACCTGGTCAATATCTTGGTCTACTTTTAGTTTAGGGTGAGCTTAAGAGAAAAATGTTTATAAGTATGCTTTACAAAGATTTGTTCACAGAGGTTTAGGCAGTTCGCAATTGAAGAGGCCTTTGAGAGTAAAAACTGTATGACAAGTTTGTAACAGTATGGAAAGGCGGGATGTCCTTTAAGTACATGGGGGAACAAATGTTCCAAAGGAATGAAATTTAAATTTGACATCATTCGGTGCATTCCTAGATACATTTGCTGCTTTCCCATGTTAATGTAAAATGTAAACCAGGTAGTAAATATGCTGTTAACTCTTTCAAAGGGAAAGTAATGGGGTTATACTTTGCTCAGTTTGTTCAAAACTCCTCCAAAAACCTCCAGGTGAATTCTGAACGATCTGGGTGAGAGTTCATGAGGTTTTAGCGGTTATCATTTAGTTTTTGTAATCCTGTTCTTGTCCAGTAGGACAAACTCCAGGGCCTCCACGCCTAGTGTCACAAATGTCCAGTCGCAGGCTCCGACGACAACCTCGACGCAGCCCCTGGCGGACCTGCTGACAGACAGCATCCTGGACGACTCTAACCCGCAGACCGCCGACTGGACCTACGACCCCAATGAGCCCCGCTACTGCCTGTGCAATCAGGTGTCGTACGGCGAGATGGTCGGGTGTGACAATGCCAACGTGAGTATGCCGATGTTCTATGACGAAATGGTCTGTCTTATAGCTGTAACTGATTGAGGGAGTGCTCCCGTCAAAATGTGACCCACTCTGTGAAAATAAGTCAAAAATCACCAGAGCCACTTCCTGAGTTGAACTTCTATTGGAATGAGCAAAGTGACGTCTTTGTGTTGATTTGTATCTCAGTTTAGGTATCCTAATAAAAATTGACACTATGAGGGGGAACAATGTACCGGAGACATTGGCTTTAAACGCATGGCTGAGGTGACCGAAATCGGACAAAAGGAACAGGGCCTTTGTAACAAAAGACCAAGCTGCTGGGAATTGCCCAAAACTTTTAGCACAGAGGTAATCCGTCATTGTTTTGAAGCAGTAAACCATTGTTTGGGGCATTCATCCCCCGCGGATTATCAGCGGGGACAAAAGTGTTCCAGCACTCCTGTGTGAGCGAATCAGTACCACCGCCGCGCTAATTTGGCTTCATTTGAAAAGACACCACTGCCATTCAGCAACGCACTGGGCCAATTTCGGGAACAAAGGAAATTACGCTTCATCGCACAATTTTGGGCTCTCCTTACTGGGTGGCAGGCTTGGCTGCAATACCCCAGTGCCAGTGGAGGCTGCCTGTCAGATTAGAGTAGCCACCAGACAGTCATTCGTGTGGGTGTAAGCGTCCGGTAATTGAAGTTATGAATTTTTGGAACAATTTACAATTTTGAAAACGGAAAATCATGAAAAATGGCCCAGCGACTTGTCCTGAATGTGCAAACTCCACCCGGCAGGAAGTGGTTAAGGTTAACATACACGCTGTGTGCCTTTGGCCGTCTGCACGAGGGAAATGTAGAGGGTCCCGAGAGTACAGCCAAAAATGTCTGTTTGTGACCACATCCCAGAAAATGTGTTTGAAAGCGATTTCATTTTTCAGTAATTTTGTGTAAACTGAAATTAGAGCAAACTGAGCTCTGCGGTTTGATGCATCAGTCAGTGTGGCAGTGTGTTGAAAGAGGACATTTCCCCTATGGAAATCATGGTATGTTGGTGGCTGAGCCACAGGATGTGTGCGGTTCAAGATTTCTCTTTAAGGCCAGAAGCTTGAAAGTGACTCTAGTGATTTTCAACTCATTTTCTTAGGTGTGGACATAATTTAAGATTTTAGTAAATTATAAAATGTCACAAACTCTTATCTTTGCGTATTAGAACATGTCAGTGTTTACAAGTGCTGATATGGTAAACCCTCTTACCATTTCAAAGAGACGATTTGGGGACTTGTTTTCATCTGGCAAATACACTCGGCCTTTTCAAGTCTATTCTCTTTTGTTCTTTCCTACAGTGTCCCATCGAGTGGTTCCACTACGGCTGCGTGGGCATCACCAACCCCCCTAAGGGCAAATGGTACTGCCCGCAGTGCACGGTGGCCATGAAGCGTCGCGAGAAGAAGGACTCCAGCAACAAGAAATGAGAAAAGTTCAGTGCAATAGTTACAGCTTCCCGACATTGGTCATCGCCATTCAGCCTGAAATCCTTGCTGTTTTGGAAGTTGGTTCTAAATGTGAAGAAGACAGACTCTTCCAAAAGTGTGTCCCTGCAGCCGCGTCTGCTGTTTAAGGTCGCAATAGAACAGCCAGTGTGACGGAGCCTTACTTTACAAAGCTGGAAGACTCGGGCAATGCTCTCCGACAGCTTTTCTTGACTGGGCATATTAAAGCAGTGTGTGACACATTGCAGGAGGTTGTGCATGTGTGCTCAGCAATGTGGTTGTTTTTCCAGCGAAAATGATCTGCGGTTACATAGTATGAAATTGGAGTCAAGAACAGGTTCTCTTTCTCCTGTGAACAGTCTTTCTTGTGAATAACGGATTTTCCCCCAAGAAACTTGCTAACAATTAATAGAATCACTGATCTTGCTTAACATGTATGTTGGTGTTTTTTTTGAGAAAGAAATAGTCAAAAAGTAACAAAGAAGATTGCCTTTGGAACCCCCCCTCAAAAATCTGTTCACAACCTGCTTTCCTAAACAATGGATATGTGACTGTTTATGAATCACTGAGAAACAACATATTTTAAAATCTTAAAGTCTCTCTGGTATTCATCTTCTTGAAGGGGTCAAGAAATAAAGGCATACAAACTTATTCAAATTATGTTCAGACTTTTTGTTTGTCCAGCTGTGTGACGTGGCTTGCTTATAAACCCAAATCTACACATAAATTGAAGAGTGCTCAGTCTGTAGTGATATGCAATATCTGAAAGCTAATATCTGTGGTACTGAATGCTCAAATGTTTACACTAAGTTCCAAGTCCCAATACTGATTTGAGGAAATGTATACTAAGCATTACATAATTGTTGTCTTATGGCCAGTTCATGCATGGTGTAAAAGTAAACGCGAGTAAGATTTTGTGACCGATTAAATCTACGCTGCGAGTTTGCCTAACTTGAACACTTTTCAACTCGAGTGAGTTTGGCTGCAAATATTTTGTGATGTCAAGTTTGCTGTGCTCTCGCGTTCATCGGAAGTATGAACTGGTCTTTATCCTGTCTATGCCAAGTTCAAAAACATTTAGATATGCTGATCCACAAGTTGATTTGTTCTAGACCCATCTTCTCAAAGTAAAAGTGATCAGTCTTTTTATTTCTGTTTCTTTCAATGTATGATTTTATTCTTTGGTAATGAGAAATACTGAACGAGCTGTAACAGGTGCCGTTCACAGAAGTACTAATATGGCTAAATAAGAGCTTGTCAATGAATGTTGTGGCCTATGTTATTAATAGATTGACTACATTTTTAAAAGTTGGTTGTGGAAACTATACAAGGACGGGAGCCTTTGGATGAGTTTATAAAGTTTGTAAGACAGAGAACAACAAATTACGGTTTTCCTTATCTGAGTACCACAATTTTGAGGGAAGTTTGAATAAACAGGGAGCTCAGCTAATGAATTCAAGTTACCATTTGGGGAGTTTTCAAGTAGCAGCGCCATTGAACACCTCCCCCCCCCAACTTACTGATATCCACTGTACTGTACTCCGCCATCCAACTCCCCCTCCCCGTACGGATACCCACTTATGGTACAAGGAGAAAAGAATGATGATGAAAGTTGATTATCATGTTAAATCTATATAATGTTCCTGGAGAGGCTTTTTGGTTTTTTTGTGTTTGTTTGTTCGTTTTTTTTTAGTCTGTGGGTTTACCGAAGATCGTATTGCGCCGCGAATCTGCGCATCTTTGGGGTTTACATAGGTTTTGAATTTTAACCTTACCGATGAGGGCGCTATTCATGACGCATGGTCTCTACTCCATTTTTAACGCTAAATTATTATTGTTGAGGTCACGCACGACCATTGATTGGGGTGTCAAGAACTTTCACCGGTTTTTTCATCATGAGTTCTCGAAAAGGTATCTTCTTTTGTAAGATAATTTTCTCAAACTGGACGTCACTTATTTAGTGATGATACTGCTGATTTCGTTCTTGGTCCTCTTGTTTTCGCAGTGATGGCCATCCAGGCGAGGAAGAAACGAAAGCCGCCCAAGAATCGGCAGAAACATGACGGCGGACCTAAAAAGAGCGGATCGGCGGCCATGTCAAAGTGCGTACCGTTGTGTCATTCTTTCTCGCGTGTTGTGTGTGTGTGTGTAGTCTGCATACCAACATTGATGTTGCCAGGGAAAAAAATGTTGCATCCTGACTCCACTTTTCTCATATCATCTCAATAAAAGTCAGTCATTACAGAAATGCTGGAAAGACACGAATTCTGGATTGAGAAACATTTACCGGTGTTGTTTGGAAATAGTTTGAAAATTCTCTTCACTCCCCATAGACTTTGTACACAACTGCCGAAGTGGAGTCATCATGCAACATTTTTTCCGTTGCGAGGTCTGGCAAAGAAGAAAAAATTGTACTTGAGAATTTGGGAATACAGGCCATTTGCCTCATGTTGGGCCAGGCCTGTATTTACATGAATGTGCAAAACTAATTGTCCGTGTGTTTGATCATCATCATGGTCATAATATTGTTCCATCATTTCTTTTTTCATCGCTTAAAAGATGGGCATAGGAAAGGCAAAAGAAGTTGAAAAGAAATTGAACGAATTAAATAAAAGAGCAGCATTGCCACCATAAAAGGCATTTCACGTGAAATGTTTTTGTAAATTTTTTTGGTTGGAATGACATCACGCTGTGTCTCTTTCTGCCACTCTCTACATCCTGACGTGTTGCGTGCCATCGGCGTTTGTTATGACCATATGGAAACCAGGCTTTCCACCCTTCCGAACTCTGCAGTATTTGTATGCAGTAAACAGTACATGTAAATAGCCAATTGGAGAAGAAGGCTCTGGGTACCAGTTCATGTGTGTTTATTGTATATACTTCGTGTTAACTCGCCTCACTGCCCATGTGGTTCTGGGAAGGTGTACAAATACATGGAGTACAGATGTTGCAAAGCATTGCTGGTTGCTTATGGAAGTGCTAACCCAATTCACCTTAGTTGAAGAGGCTTAAAGAAATTCCATCCAATCCTGAAAAAATTAGCCCAATCCAGTGCTCTGTAAGGATGGTAGGGATGACTGCGATATCTACTCGCTTGTGGTCACTGTGGTCACCCACAGTCCTCTGAGGATGCTTGGGCCTACTGCAGGAAGCTTAAGTTTTCAGCTTAGATTAATGTGGGATTCTGTTTCCTTCCAACTTAGTTCTGCTTGAGTCCACAGTACTTACCAGGTGGCAATTATAACAGCCAATGAAAACAAACCTACTATATACATGTACATGTACATGTATGGCACATGTACATGTATGCTCACAATGAAAGGAATGGTATTTCTTGTTGATGTGCTACATGTCAGCACCGAGAACTGCCACTCATACATTGTACATGTACTGTGCATGTAAAAATATCAACAAGGTGAGGGGGTGAGATTTGTCTTTTTTTTCTGGATTGCAGGATTTTTTCTTCAGGATTTTCCTTGTTTCAGGATTTTTCAAGCAATCTCTTTCAAAGTCCGGAAAATCCTGGTTGACCATTGTGGTGGTTTTACATACATGTATATGGGTCATTCCATGAGGTTGGGGCACAATTTGTGATGATGTCCTTGTTACAAATAACACACACCTCTGTATTCAGCCTTACAAGATGTATAACAATGTCAATTTGGAGTCCACATGCAGGGAAATAGCTGTCTATTTTTACGGAACCCACGTAATAGTGGACATTGTCACAAATTATGCCCCAACCTCATGGAATGACCTGTATATAAAAGTTGACATCGAGCATATTCAAGAAATGGTATTTAAATGGTGCTTTTAGGCAAACACTGCAGTGGGGCCCCTCAAGCTCTCTGCCAGTTATTTTGGGGGTATTTCATTGTCCTCCAATCTCACCTGTGCTACATATCGGTATTGGTACATGTACCTGTACATATCATGTGTATCCAAACTGAGTCATCTCCATCTGTGCCAAATGACGTTTCTCAAAAATCAGTCTTCACTGTCGTCAGAGGGCATGTTGACTTTGTTGCTGCAGTTCAACATTCCATTTGATTTGATTCCATTTGAACAGAAAGAGTTTCATACTCGGACATCACTTGACACCCCGCGCACAAACACCATGTGAGACTGTTGTGAATATTCAGTTTTTTTCGGACTAAATGTTCTGACGCTTTCCCTGCTGAATTTGACTTTTGAGGACGCGTTCTTGTTTTCTGATGGCCGATATACCAATGTGGGGAAAAATAAGTGATACCTACATGCATATACAGCTGTACGGGACTCGCTTAGGTGTAGCTACAGGGGAGCGGGCTAGGGATGCAAAGGGGAGGAGGGTAGGGATGCAAAGGGGAGGAGGGTAGGGATGCAAAGGGGAGGAGGGTAGGGATGCAAAGGGGAGGAGGGTAGGGATGCAAAGGGGACTCATCCAAATGTCGGTCACTCAGCGCCCATCCTATTCAGCTTCCTAATAATTCGGCACTTGACCGTGTCGGTGCCTAATCAGCTCGGCAGTGAATATTGCCTCCTGAATAATATTTTCATGTTTTCATAAATTTTGACAACAAAATGCAAATTTTGCTATTGAGACCAACACAGGAAAACAGTTCTAGACGATATCTCTTTGTAACAAGAAGAAACTTCATTTATTAGCAAACAGAAGCAAAATTAACCTAGGATTAATTGAAATAACAAACAAATCAACACCACTGAGCACAAAAACAGACAGCCCGACAAACATACAGTCAACCCATCAAATAATCCCAAGATATTGCCAATAAGAAGTGAGAATGATGCTTGCCATTGGGCTACCGGTATGTGGACAATATGCCAAAGGGAAGACTGTGAGTCCTTTTGATAATTTAATCATTACATTCATTTTTTAAATTTGATTTTTTTTATATTCAAGTTTTTTTCCTCAAATGTCTCCAAAAGGAAGAGTGGCACTTTCAGTACTAGTTCATCCATGCAGCCTCGCTTTATTTTGGAGGTGTAGAGCTTGCGAGGTGACAAGTTGGCTAGGTGCTGAACTGTTGAGGTGCCGAGTTGGGTGTCAAGTGAACAAGGTGCCAAAGTGACCAGATACCACTCATATTCCCTCCCCCTAGCAGAGGTCTGTGCCCTCCGGGTGCCCCAAACTGAAAATTTAGAAATGTACATGTACACAACCTTCATGTATTTGTGCAAGCCACAGACATGGCAGACACAGTATTGAGACTGTACAGTGTGGAAATGTTGCTAAATACTTTCCATACAAATGTTAAATGTGCATCTGTGTTGATGCCAAATTCAATTACAGTACACTTACGATTCATTGTAGGGGCCTCACATGTATTGTACAATGTGACACACCAAGTGCTGGAATCGAACCTGGGACCAGCCTCGACCACAGAGTCTTATCTCCTAGGCCACACTTCCTGAGCTGGTGACCTTTGGTTTGGCACCGAGTGGTTTCAAACAAAGTTCCCAGTTAACCTTAATTGTTCGACCAGCTGTGGCGCTGTACATCATGTACCGTATCTGCTTTGGAATTTTGAAAACTGATTCCCCACTTGCTGTCAACAGACAGGAATCGCTTTTTGTCCTGTTCTGACACATGCCTGCGCATTTCCTGGTTGTGAAGTTGAGCTTACACTCACATTTAGTTTGGGATTGTGTTTTTCCTGCAATGCCGGAGCCAAGTTTCCACGTTTAACCAACTCTGCGGTACCGGTACATGTGCACTGTATGCTCATGTACATGTAAGTTGAGAATCGTATTATGTTTCATGTCAGAAAGTTACATTTTAGCACCGCGTACTTCCTGTATGCGTTTTCTTGTTCCATAGTTGTGGGGACATACACACAATATTTCTCATTTTGTTGGGACCGACCACGTTATGGGGACAGAGAGGTGTCCTCACTCTGTCCTAATTTTCCTGACAGAAGACAGGGAAAGAAGGCCTACCCATGCATTCACACAAACTGCACACATTGTAGAACCTTGGTAACAGTTGTGACCTTGTGAAATTTGAAAGAGTTTTTAAGAGCTTTGGTCTTTTTCAGGAACATACTGCGGACATCTGCATGATGTATAGTGAAATTGTTTAGGCCTACATACCTAGTACATGTATATTAAGTCAAGAATGCATGCTGGTTCATTTGCCTTTCTACTAGTTCTTGTACATGTGGTCAGTTCTTTTCTGACTAGTTTTTTTATTGACTTTTGCAGTAAAGGACAATGTTAAGGACAAGATGTGTGTGAAGAGTCTTGCAAACTGAATTAAATTTCTTCCAT